GGACATGCGATGTGGACTCGATACGAAGTACGAGTTCGAGTGTAGGCAGATCATTGATGGAATCTGGCGTATCGTCATCGGAGTGGGTGCCGCGCCGGCGCTGATTGCGATTCTCTTCCGCTTCTTCCTCCCAGACTCGGGTCTTTACAACCTCGAGGTGCGACAACGCGCCAAGACCGCGTTGAGCGACAACGTTCGAGTGTTTGGTCAACCTTCGATGCCGTTCAGCGCTCCGAATGGCACCCTGTCGAGGAGCAGGACGAGTGCCAGTTCTGGGGACGAGGTTACCGAGTCGTCGACTCCTGTCCAGTTTTCCCGCAAGGACCTTCATCGATACTTCATCCGGGATGGGAACTGGATGTATCTACTGGGAGCAGCCAGCACATGGTTCATTCTTGATGTGGCGCTGTATGGATTCGGCCTGGATAACCGTGCTAACATCGCCGACATGTGGGCAAGACAGTATGGAACACCCATCGACAGCAACCTCGAGTGCTGGACCTCACCCTTTCCAGACGGGAAGTCAGCCGTGCCGGACTGGACGGATGGGCTCCCGATATGGCAAACCGACCGAACCCGGCCCTGTGACACCATCTACGATGTCCTGCTACAGCAGGCCAAGCAATATCTGATCACCGTCTCCATAGGGTCTCTTCTTGGATGCATCTGCTTCGTCATTTTCGTCAACAAGATACCCAGGAGACAGTTCCTTACATCATCATTCATCTTTCTCGCCGCAATCTTTACCATCACTGGCGGGGTGTACTACGGCGTGCATCATGGCCCCTACGCACCGGCCACAGCTGTCCTCGTTGGCATCTGTCACTTTGCCTTCAACTTCGGTTAGTCAACAACCCCCCCTTGGCGGTTCAACGCTAACAATATTTGCGTGCGTTCAGGGGCAAACAGCTTGACCTTCCTCATCCCCGCCGAGATCTTCCCCACCGCGTACCGCTGCTTCTGCCATGGTGTCTCTGCCGCTGCAGGCAAACTCGGCAGCGTCATTGCCATCTTCATGGTCTACGGCATCAACACCGGCTACCACAGCACCACAAAACAAGGCTTGGTGTTCCTCCTTTTTGCCTTTGTCGGTGCCATCGGCGCGATATTCTCTTGGGCGTATCTCCCCGACATCCAGATCCGAGTGGATGGAGAGTTGATAAACCGGGACCTGGAGGAGCTGAGCGAGGGCATGGTGAAGGCTCGGATGCAGGGGCAAGTTTTCACAATACGAGAGAAGTGGGGGGCTTTGAGGTGGAGGATACGAACGAAAATGCATAAGAGTAGAGACCAGAACGGGAATGGGGTGTCTGGTGTTATACAGCCGATGGCGGAGCTTCCTGCCTAGGGAATTAATGCGGCAATGTTACCTCGTTTTCGAAGACCAGTCCTGGAAGAACCGCAAACCACTCGGGTAGGCCTCTGCGAGTGCCGAAGCGTCGTTGCGCGCAGCCTCTTTTCACAACCCAGTTGAGATAACACGCATCTGTCTTGAGAACGCAAACCGCGCGCCCCTTTCATTGATGGGGATATGCCGATGCATATCAATATTGTACCCCCGCTACCCGGCCCATCACAAACCAGGTAAATAGAGTGGGCAATCAACTCCCATGGCCCGGTTGACCCGATTGGTGTATTTTGGCTTGCGTCGCGTCCCCGGCAAAGCTCCCGACAACCACCCTTTCCAAGTTCAGCGAACGGGAAGTTATTCAACAAGGGCTGCTGGTTTTTCACTTATAGACAACGCTACCGACGCGAAGCGCGGGCAGCATTCCCAACAGGACAACCTTGCGCCCGCCACGATGTTGTCGTTCCGCGTCGCCGCCGCCGCCGCGGTCTTGGCCGCTCACCATGTTCTCGTTGCAGCGCAGGGAGATATGCTCCGTTTCGGTTGTTCTCAATTGGTCATCGAGCGCACCGATCCCATCGTCCAACCGGGGGTGTCGCCGTCCGCGCACACGCACCAGATCGTGGGAGGCAACTCTTTCAACGTTACGGTACTTATCACACAACCGACCACGTCCCTGACAGGTTATTCAGGTCGGAAAAACTAACCCTCTTGACATATAGATGGACCCCGCCGACTTCGATCCCGCCAAGCGATCCACATGCACCTCATGCCTCTACGCCGAAGACATGAGCAACTACTGGACCGCCAGCGTCTACTTCAAGTCCCCCGAGAACGGCTCATACAAGTTAGTCCCGCAGATGGCCAACTTTCGCCGTCCCAGCAGCCCCGAGCTGCTTCCGCAAGAGGGTGGTCTCACAGTCTACTACATGGAACCCTTCGGCGGGAAGGTCGCCAAAACTACCTCCTTCAAGCCCGGCTTCCGTATGGTCGCCGGTGATCCCGCTCTTCGCGCCAAATCCAATGCATTCCCTGGTATCTGTCACCGCTGCAACGGTAACGGCGAGGGCGGCGCACCGTGCGATTCCCGCGATACCTCCGAGTTCCCGACCAAGGTGTGTCCCGGTGGTATCCGCGCCACGATAATCTTCCCTACCTGTTGGGACGGTAAAAACCTCGACAGTCCCGATCACAGAAGCCACATGGCCTACACGCCTAACCGTGCGGCGCTCGCGGGCGCCAGTTGTCCGACTACCCACCCTGTCCGTGTCCCGCAGGTCATGTACGAAATCATGCTCGACACCAAACAGTTCAACGATCCGAAGTACTTCGGAAGCGGGAAGCAACCGTTTGTGTACAGCTTCGGTGATAGCGTCGGGCACGGGCAGCACGGAGACTACCTCTTTGGCTGGAAGGACGACTCGCTGCAGCGGGCCATGGATGAGCTTGGGAAGAATGGCTGCTCTACTGATACTTGTAGCAGTGTGCTCAAGATTCAGGATAAGAAGGATATCCTTGCGTGCACTATTCCGTCGCGGGTGCATGAGTCGGTTGGGGTTCAGGGTGAATGTGAGTGTGCTCTGTTTTCAGTCTTGAGATATGAGGATTTGCTGACGATTTGGTTTATTAGGGCTCCAATCTCTCCCTGGGAACGTGGTGGTACGTTGAGGAGTCATCGGGATTGACTGGAGGAATGGAAGGTTGGTATGGCTTTTGTCGAGGAGCGGCTGGATTTTTTTCTCTGAGTCCATGTCAGGGATGGGTAGCAGCGGGCACACATCAACCATCTGACCACTGGGTGGCCTGGGGGCTGGGATTTAGTTGACTATGGGAAGCTGACCGACCGAATTTTGGATGTACAATTGCTGGTTTGAGCGTATCATGATGTTGTATAACTCAGCCTTTGCGGCATTCTCAGCTTCACTGGTACTGTTGGTTTGTAACAATGTGTCCCCACCTAGCGTTCAATATGGGCCCCTTGGGGCGATTTCTAGGCCCATAAGTGGCATTGTGACGAAGTGGGACAAGACAAGCCATTCTCGTCTTGGCTCTCGGCCCTCCGCAATGTGAACCATCATGGCCAGGGGGTTCAGCCCCAACGATCGGCCCATGATGATAGCGGGAAAAGCTAACAAACGAAATAGATATAAGAGATGAGCGACATCTCAGTGTCTCGGCCCTGTTGCGAAATCCACCCCCCTATCACTCGCCACTCATCAACTGAGCCTGCCAAGCACCAAGAGTTTTAACACAAATCAAGATGAAATTCATCCTCTGCCCTCGCACTCTCTCCCCTCATCGTTGCCCAGACGTTAGGGCCCTCTCCAATCGAGTCCATCGGCTGCGAGGCACATGGTGACCATTGGTGAGTGTAGATGTTCTTGACATGGAGTGTAGCAACAAGACTGACCAGTACACTCTGACCCTGGTTTTATTGCTAGCGTGGTTCTTGCCCCAGTTTTTATCCACCTCACCTCCATCCTCACTCAACGCGCCCTATCGTCAGTGAGGCCGTACCTAAATCATATCCACTTCATATCCAGTCAGTGACAAACTCCCTGGCCTCTCTCTCTCTCTTGCACATCCACAGTGCCCTTTCAGACACCCACAAGCAACAAAGCTTGGCCAGATTGAACCAATTCAGAGGTGGTGATACCCTCATGGAAGTGGGGCGCGTACCGAGCTAACAATAAAACCAGGGGTAGAGTGTATCAGGCACTGCGACGCGCCAAGAACGACTCTTGCGACTGTCGCCACCCAGACCGGAATCATGTGGAGCCATGGCCATGATGAGCACTACCATGGCTCGGAACATGAGCAGAAGGAATACCACCGCATTGGAGTCGAATACGTCGCTGAAGCCCAGCCCGACGGAGTCCACTGGCTGCATGGCCCACGGCGGCCACTGGCACTGCGATGGCAAGAAGGCAGAGGAGACTGGAACGATAACAGCCGAGACAACCGCCGCAACTGCTGCTGCGTCCACTGTTCCCACTTCAAGAGCTGGACGAACAGGAGTTGAGGCCATGATGGCGGGGGCGACGGGACTGGTTGTTGTTTGCAACATGATCTTTTGACTGTCCAAGGTTGTTTGTAGTAGCGCATTCAATGTATCTAAATGGAGAATGACAAATGAGGAACCATCTTCACTCCCAACTTACAGGTTGACCCAGCACGAAACGCCATCTTATCGGGGCGCGCGCGTGGTGACACATGGCACTGACAAGCAGCATCATTATCGGGGGCCCGATAGATTGCTGCACTTCTTGGCACGATACCGGTGGGCTGGTTTGTGGGTGGTTTGTGGGTTCTGGAGTTGCACTAGAATGGAAACCGGATGGCTGGTAAGATCCACTGGTGTCAGTTGCGATGGTGGGACTTCGTTTGTTTTGCCGACCCATGACAACTCAGGGGGGATGGAAATCAAAGGGTTAGGGTTGACTCCTGATGTTGACATCATGATGGAGGGCATGCTGCCTGGCGGGACTCACCAACACTTTTGCGGCTTGTCGTGTGATTTTGGGTTTTTGTGAGATGGGTGGGTGTTTTGTGGGTGGCGATGTCGAATCTAAGGTTTGTCGCATGTGACTTCATCCATCAACAGTAGATATACCACTTCTCCCAGGCAGCCATTGACGAAAGTCGCCCAAACGGGCGGGTAGCGCAGTGGTCAGCGTGTTCATGAGCGTAATCGGCGTTGATTTCTTCCCTCCAGCGTTCAGCGAAAGATCCGGGTTCGAGTCCCTGCCCGCCCCTCTTTTTTGCTGACGGCTGGCCTCCCTTTTTGCCAGCCACCGACGCTACTTGGGTGTCCCTCTTGAAGGGGAAGAGAGTTTACGGTGTCCTCGAATCTGTGGCTTCTGCGCTGGGAAGTTGGTAATGTGTGTCACATCTGCACATCCTTTCAGACAGGCACGAACCTTGCTGAGGCTGCTGTTTATGTTGTTTCGATCTATTTCAAGCACCCTCCATTGGCGACTTGGATCATGCACAGAAGAAAACGGAAAAGCAAAATAGTTTAGTATCTAGCGCTGCAACATCCTTGACAACGAAGCATACAGACGACGCAGTCCCTTGAGGGTGAAAACGGAGAGATAGGCAGAGACGACGATGAGGAGTGAGAAAAATTGTGACGCATTCATTCCTGATTTGTGAAGGCGGTACCCGACGTAAAGCTTGACGTAGCGAGGAATGAAGACAAGCCGCCGGCGAAATAACTCGATCTTGCTCGAGATGCGTGGATATTTAAGACGGGTAGCTTCTTGTCGGACGTGGGTCGACAACGTTTCACGAACGACATCCACACACAAAAGATTCGAACCCAAGACGTCTCCGTATGTGGCACTGATGGTGTATGTGGCGCTGGCGGTTCGGATAGCTTGCGAGGGTATGATCGCATTATTTCCCGTTCCCAAGTTTTGCATCAATCTGCGGGATAGAATTTCGGGATCTGTCTTGGGGGAATCCCGAACGTGGCCCTGGAGCTCTTGAACTCGGTCCTGGACGGGCTCACGGCCAGTTAGGAAAACATCATGGATGCCCGTAACGAGGCCAACCAGTTCCGCAAGGTCCTTTCGCGTGGCAATGCGTGTCCAGTCGGCGGAGAAGACGAGCTCGGGCGGGGCAATCAATTCCTGCAGCGTCCATCCGCGCGTGAACCAGCGGCTTCGTCCAAACAGCTCATTTTGTTGGGCCTCGCCAAGGCCTGAGGGGACATCGGCCAGATGGGTGTAGCACACATCGGCGCGTTCGTACCAGCGCATCATCGAATTGATCGCCTCGGAGAGTTCGGCGCTGCTGGTCTTGTCGATGCAACAGGTACCCACACAGTTGTATTCGAGCCCATCTCCAACAGTTTGCTCAGCAGTTTTTAAAATCTTGGTGTAGCCGGGCTTCTCCAATGTTGTCTGGCTCACAGTGCAGCCAGATGCTTTTGAGGCATTATAAGCTTCAAGTTCTTGGAATGTGACCTCTCCTTGGCCCCATGTGTGCGAGAGGATGGCGTATTTGGGAACATTTTCGCCAATGAAATCTTGAAAACACAGCGTTCTGGCGTTGAGGAGTCTCATATTCTGCTGCAGAAAACAAAGTGGCAGGGTGGCAGCGAGATGCTCTCGGCGGATTTCACCGTGCTTGGTGGAGGAAAGAAGCGGTCAAAATCAGTTGCCCAAGCAGAGGTCGCTGCTGCGGGAGAAAGTGTCTGGTCGACGGGCCGTGCCGGCCCGAAACAATCACTGAGCCAGGGGCTTGGCACTTGATTACACCCCTATTCTGCAAACCTCAATATCAATATACCTTGTATAACCAAAAAGAGAGGGAGGCTGCTCATGCAGTTGGCATGGCACAGATTACCCCGCAGAAGTTGCATTGTAGCACAAACAGTCTGTTGGACATCAGGTTGAAGGAAGAACACAAGGATTAGGGTTGACACCAATTTCGACTTCTGCATTTGGGATATCAGCTCATATGTTCTTGAGCAAAGATTTTGCTGTGGCATGTATGGATTGCTATAGGGTATCAATGAACGCTCTTTCCCCGCTCCCAATTTTTTTCAACCCGCCCTCTTGCATTTACAGGAACCAACATTTGACTGACCATTCAGGGGCTAATGGGAAAGAAACAGAAGCTCACAAACAAACACTTTTGGCTGCTGCTATTAGGAACACGTAATTACCTGCAATTTGGCTTTGTAAATTATACTGTTGTTTGTTGCTGTTGGTACCTTCAATACGGGAAACGTTGTGGTGCACTCGGGGCATCACATGGGATAAGAGGGAGCCCAGATCACAGACCTGCATACCGTGCCGCTTCCACGGCAACAGCTACCAGTGTGTCCCAGGGCGAGGCTCTGGAAGGCACTTGCGTATCACCTTGCCCCTGAGAACCAGACTCTTCAGTGTCGATATCATCCATTGGACAATCATCATCGGCAGGGTTTCCCCCTTTAGAATCCGACCTGTGGCAATCCATGAGGTCAGGAATCAGGTCTTCCTCAAAATGTACCTGTCCCTCAAGGGATCCTGGATGGCCAGACACGTCCTGCTGAGTGGATGCAGGTGCCCGCAGGGCATTCCGTTGCCTCTCCCTAAATCGTCTGCCATCTTGTCGGGCCCTCTCACGACACTTATCACAGTAGCTGAATCCGTCCAGGACGTCAACCTTGTTGCAACGTGGGCACAAATGAGGCGGCCGAGCCTTCGCTTGCTTTCGAAGGGGATCCGCTGCCTTTGAATGCCTTGAACGGCAGTCTTCACAGGTGCGGAATCCTTGATCCGCCTGAACCTTCCTGCAGAAGTAACAAAATCCTTGGGATTGCACCTTGTCGTAGCTCTTTTTTGAGTATTCGCGACACTTGGTACAGACTGATTTACCCCCAACAGCCTCATTCTTCCCACAACGGGCGCAAAGACCTTTACTCTTCCACTTGTCCCTCCGCAGTTTCATATGCAACTTAGTGTCCTGTTCTGCCCTCTCGCCACAGTCTTTACAGAGATGACGTCCTGGAAGACGTTCGCCAATCTTGCAGCGCTTGCAGAACGGGCTAGCTTTATTTTGACCAGGGGCCATTTTCTTCTCGAGCTGCTTCCAAAGTAAGAACCCAAGATATCTACGCTGTCCACAAAGCCGGAAAGCAAACTAGTGGGTTTTAGTTCTAAGCTAGGCTTTTAGGTAGCAGTAGATGTTTGTTGAATTGTGTAAGAGAATGGAGAAGGACGATAGACGGAGTATGAAGCCTTCTATTTTATTTAAATTCAATGCACCAAGTGCCCCATCACAATGTCTTTAATACTTGGTTGCCATGATCTTGGCGCCTTGGAGTTTGGAACAACTCAATGTGTGATGGAACAAACAATTGGCATAACAAAGACATTGTTCACGCAGACCACCAAAATAGGTACCTATTCGCCATGACCACTTTCCCGTTGGTGCTTTCGCCCCTCGAGTGACAACTGGTGTTCGCTCCATTTTGCATGTTTCACTCACGTCCCGCCCTTTATGCTCTGTTTGTCATCTGGAGCCTCGCTGGGTATACACAACTCCACGTATGTACCGAAGCTTGCACCTTGTGCTATCGTCCACATTTTCAAATTACATTCCAGTCATTATAGTTTTTTAATAAGAAAACATCAATTTAATAGATCTCCGATCCTCGCTGGGAGTCAAACAGGTATTTTTTCAGTATGTCAGGTCAAAATCTTTACCACAGATGAAGCTTCGTCCAGGCTTCACTAGCAACAGCAATCAGATGACCCCAGGCCGAACCCGTAGTAGGCACATGAGAACTCCGGCGAGAAACTTGAGTTTCAACACCCTCTTACAGATGCTGCATGGACCGGGGGTCGGGATAGAACGCATATTCGTTGCTATCTTCTGACTGCCCAAGGTAGGTATGGTGCAGTTTAAAAATAAAGACCACATTGGTTTGTGCTGGGTGAGTAGAATGAGATAAGGGACTGAAGGAAAAGTACTGGCCCGAACTTTTTTTTATCTAACACTTGAACGTGAACTTATACACACCTATCGTCTTTATTCATCTAAGGCCTAAGACGCTGGTTCCAACAGGCACTACGCAGTTCGGATACAAGGCCATGAGGTGTTTGATATCTGCGACAATGGGCATTGTCCCGTGCCTCAAAGGGTTGGGTTGATGGAATCTGCAAATTCTTTGCACAGAGATACCTATGTTAAAATAAGCTATCTGGCAAGTTTTCTCCAAAAAGGGAAGCACCAAGGTAGTACTTAGAGGGAAATAACATCTAAGCGAAAACGCATTCCGGTCAGTCCTGTCTCTATATCTGGACAGATGGAAGGCTATCCGTTTAAAGTATATACTCGACATCTAAAACCCCCTCTGGAGACACTGAGATGTAAAAATCTTCTGTCCCATCACGGCTGCCCCTTGACGGTGTGGCTGCAAAACCCCGAATCTCATCAGCTAGCCAGGGTGAGAAGCCATGTAGATGCGCTGGGAGAGCAACCGCTTTTGTCCCGCCCTCCGAGAAGCCCTTTGCATAACTCTCAAAAATATCGCGGTATAAGGCAAGGGTTGCTTGGTCCTGGGCGTCGGGATCGGTCATGTAGCCAGGGACAGCAGCCAAGATCTCGCGGATAGCATCAGGAGGGTGCCCCAGCTTAACCATGGCCAATGAGATGCCAAGTGCTGAGTAGGGGCTTCTCTGCATGCCATGATGATCGAGAATATTGAGGTGAGCGGCGAAGAGAACGAGCGATTCCTCAGGAAGGTCCTGCAAGAACTGATGTATTCCAAGTCTTATAATGGCGTCCAGTGTGGTCTCACACTCTGGGCTGAAGATCATCCATGTATCCTCAACGATGGATGTCAAGACAAGCCTTGCCGTATGATCGTTGGGACCCGCTTCTGAGCTAACAACGGTATTGAGCATTGCCCTGTATTGTGTGCAGGATCCACTGGCTGCAGGACATTGCAGGAGAAGTAGCATCTGCTCGCTTCGGACTTCCATCCAGTGTTTAGCTGCGCCCATAGCTTCTGCCACCCTTCCCAATCTCCACAGGCTCTCAACAAGCGCGAGGATCACCTGCAGGATGAGGAAGGTCTTCGTGGAATGGTTTTCTCTGAACAGCTCGAGCGAACGTTGAATCGTTGACACCGACTCGTCGTACTCGCCACCGAGGAAGTGCGCGAACCCGAGCTCGATATTTACTGCAACTGCTGAAGTGGCGGCCATTTGAGCATTGATGCTCCCAAGGTACTCGGAAATTGGCCTGAGGAGAC